GCTTTCCGTGTTGCCCTTAGTGACCATTGGATTGTTGAACAGTTGTTGTGATGTAATTAAACATCTGCAGCAATACTTAATATTGTTTAAAGTTAGCTTTCCTTGTTGCCCTTTGTGAATTATATTATTTTGGCTCTCAAGTTTTAAAATCTAGTTTTAAATTTAGCAGTTCCATTGTTACAAATTTGGCTGTTGCCCAGATTAAAAGTTGTATCTTGGCCATGTAAGTTATGTAAACAATTTAATTAATATAAAATTATCAAATTATTTTTTCTAAAGATATGCAAAGACATTTTTAGTTTGCTAATTCACTGTATACTTTTAATTTCAAGCCTAGGCCCAGCATGGCCAGGTGGTTAGGGCACTCAACTCGCATTCTGCGGGTCATGGGTCCGAATCCCCCATCACACCAAACGTGCTTGCCCTTTCAGCCATGGAGGTGTTATAATGTGACAGTCAGTCCGACTATTCATTGGTAAAAGAGTTGGCAGTGGGTTGTGGTGACTAGCTGCCTTACCTAATACACACATACATTACTAATTATTCAACTATAAAAATATTATACACTAAAACAAATTTAGTCAATTCATGTAATAGTAATTAACTTGCAAATAAAAATGAGTTGTAAAAAGTATTGATGTAACAAGAGCAAAGGCAATTATGAGTCATATAAAAGCTAAATATTAATGAAACATAGATGAAAAGATATTCTAGTTTTCTCTTGATGATTATGTTATTATATAAACATTCTAATAATAATAAAAACTTACTGAAAATCCTCCTCCTCTTTCTTTTTAGGCTGGTAATTCTTAACAAGTCTCCTGTTAAAGGTTAAAAAATAGTTACATTAGTGAAAACGGGTTATTTTCAGAGTGCCGTAACTTTTCACTGGCATCTTATTGCTTCTTAGCATTAACATTAAACCCAACAATAAAACAATATCAATGATACAAGTTTATCTATACAATTATTAGTGTACGAAAAAAATCATCGGACAGTTTTGGTATTAAACTTTTGCTAAGAATTAATTTCAGTTTAAGATACAAACATACTGCAAGTATATACTTGTGACTTTAAGCTATTTTAAACTGTGTTTTTGATTTTTTTTTCCCAGCAGTTGCATGTTTTACAAGGTACATGCATGTTTTAAGTGTATGTGAGCTGAAGGTTCTTCATTAAACTTTTAATAATAAATGACATAATCCAGATAAACTACCAGAGTCGTTACTCAATTGAAAGCATATGGCATCATTTTAGTTTGCTAACACTTCTAACAAGCTGACTTGCTGCAAACATTAAATTAAAAAACAAGTAATGCATTACATTTAATTTAGGGATATATTTGGAGTAATGACTCATACCTATAGAAGATGATTTTACTAAATTTATAACAGTAATATGTTTTACACTGTTTGACATATTCTTAAAAAAACAGTCTCTATTCACATTCATTTGCCTACTTTATTTTGTAAGTATTTTCCATTCAATTTATGGCTTTTCGATAAATGTAAAAACAGTAATAACAAAAAATTTTTTGTTTTGACGTAAACATTATTTTGCTTAATTGTTTAACACATACAGTATAGCTTAAGAATAAAGAGAAGAAACCCTCAATAATAGCAACTGGTGCTTCACGATGTATAGAAAACCATGTTCACTTACATTTAATTAATTAAAAACATAGATATAAAATTTCTGCGTAAAGGAAGATATAATTTATGTCTAAAACCTAAAATAAATATTGAATAACTAAGTTTATGTGCTGCATATGAAATTGTAGTTAAAATTAAAAACATTTTAACTAAAGAGAGAGTGTAAGTTCATAGCGTCTGACCTTATTTTTTAAATTCGAACAATAGTATCAGACTTCAAATTCATTTTTATAAGACTACTATGAACAGGGTCCCATGAATTAATGCATGTTTAACATTTAGTTTTAAGTGTAGGCATGAGGTAGGCAATTGTTTTCCAAATAAAAACTGAAGCCAATGACTTAACCATATGATTATCAATTTAATTATTAGGCATGTTTTAATAAATATGTTCCAATATGAAGTAGAATTGAACATTTTATGATAACGAGTTTAAGCTGAGACACTGATACTACAGATGAAAAATTTTATAGATATAATTATTTGTCATTATTTTGTGAACATTAAGACTAAAAAAATCTGTTACTTTAATCTATAAATATAGATGTAATCTTCTCACCTGAGTTTATTGGCATATTCACATTCAATAGAACATCTGTCTTTGACAAACTGGCCATATTTATCCAAAAAATCTACACCACGTTGAGTATGTGCTCCCAAGTTATCATACTGATCCTGAAAGGAGAGATATACATTAAAAAACATCACTTCACATGTTTGATTAATACAATTTATATATATATATATATATATAGAGAGAGAGAGAGTATCCTTTCTTGCAAGTACCTATTTCAGCATGAAGAAGAGAGCATATTAAAATACTAGAAAATTATGTTTATAGTTCGAATTCTGAGCAAGAGCTCTTGCAAAAAAAGAACATACTTCAAAATAATATCAAGATCGTAGAAAATTAACTTCAAATTAAAGAGACCAGCATTCGCGGGCAAATGCAATATGTCTCCACCAAAAAAATCCCAACATGGCCAATTCTGACACCAGGAAAATCATGAAAAACATAGAAAATTTGAAAACTGTCTATACCACTGCTTGGGACCTGCAAGAAGATATATTTGTACCAAATTCCGTGTAAGTTGGTTGACATACATATGAATAGTTCCTGAAAACCCCAAATTGTGCTTTCCTTGCTGAAAAATTCCAGAGTTTTCTAAGTCTCTATTTAGGACCTGTAGAAGAGTGTGTTTGCACCAAATCCAGTGTAAATTGGTCAAAATATGGTGTAGTAATATTCAAAACACCCTAAAATTATGCTTTTTGTGGTATCTTGACCCCCAATAATTACTAAAGATGGTCAGGTTCAACATTTTTGTATTGGTCCATATTTGTACCAGCTTCCATATAAATTGGTTGAAATAAATGACCAAAAACCCCTAAAATTATGAGTTTATTTCACCTTTTGCACTCCCCCCCTCCAAAAAAAACACATCCCACATTTTTGTATGCATATGTATGGGACCTGTAAAAAAGTATCTTTGTATCAAATACCATGTAAATTGACCAAAATATGGCAGGGTCATTGTAAAAAAAAATAAAGTTATGCTTTTTGAGACATCTTGACCCTCCTATAAGTACTTAAAATGGGCAAGTCTACCATTTCTGTATGTCAATATGTGAGACTTGTAGAAAAGTATCTTTGTACCAAATCCAATGTAAATTGGTCAAAATATGCCTGAGTATTTGACCAAAAACCCAAAAATTGTGTTTTTGTGACCCTTTTAAAAAGACTCAAAACAAGCAAATGTAAATGTATTGGGTGCATGAAAATTTATACTCGTACCAATTTTCATCTTCATATGACCACACAGAAGCCCAAAATATACATAAAAAAGGCCTAAATCAAAAAATTAAAAAGCTATCTGGGCATATTCGACCAAGGTATAATCCTACCAAATTTAAGGTCAATCTACCCAGAAATGAAGGTACGGCAGTCAATTGATAAGTGTTTGGAAGAAAAAGAAAGAACTAGAAACAAAAGAAATACAGTATGTCTCTCTGCAGGGACATAACTATGCAATTTATTTAAGATATGTATTGAAGATAATCAGACGAAAAATTGTATATGATTAAACTGTATATTTTATATGCAAATATAATGTATTTTGAAGAAAACATTTTTTAAAGATTTCTATGATATGACATATACATATATTAAACAAACAATATTTAACGATAAGGTAACTAACTGATGGGAGGAAAGCATTACAAGTGTAAAACATGCAGCTAAAACCTAAATCTACACTTCAGAATATTTTTATGTTAAAATACGCCATGCATTTTACTGATCTAAGTTTATTTGTGTTGAAATTCTGATGAAGTGATGGCAGTTACTGACTAAAACTGGGATAAATTCTAGTAATGTTGGCCTGAATTATTGTACTGATCAATGATTGTTTATAATACATTTATGTAATTTAAGAAGACTGATGACAATGTTCAAGAAATTCTTTCTCTGTTGAGACTTCATACCAGCGATTCATTTTTTTACTGTTAATTGAAGCATACAATAAACAATACGGACAAAGGACAAAATGACGCATATCCATCCAATCTCATTAAAAAAAAAAATTAAAAATATTCATGATTTGACACATCAAGGACTGAAAACTAACAGTACTAAAATTCATCTTTGACCCAATAAAACACGGTTTGATCAAAATAATATTGAAGTTTGAAGAGCATTGTTCTCTATCAATTAATATTAATAATTAGTGAAAACAAGAACATATAATAAATAAAAAGAAAGCCTTTCTTAGATTTGTTTTCAAACATGAGACACACCTTCATATTTATACTGTAAAGTATAAATAGTCAGAAATCTTCAGTTTTAAACCAACAATAAATATTTTGATTACAAATTCCACAACTGATTGACAAGTCTCTTCAGCAGTGAAGAGTAGCAGACAAGAGAAAGACCTGATATGCTGCTTTTGATTTGAAATTTGTAACAGACTATGAAGAATCTGGAGGTGGGATTTGTTTTTCTGTATAACTAAAGAATGGCAATGCTTGATTTACCAGTGGCTTGAAGTTGTTTGGTTTGTAAAGAATTTGGCGCAAAGCTACACAAGGGCTATCTATGCTAGCCATCCCTAATTTAACAGTGTAAGACTAGTACATTAGATCACTAATGTAAACGAGTAGATCTGATGAAAGGATGATTCTAGTTGTCTAGATACCAATAATTAAATTCCAATGGAGTGAAATATGACAAACAACAATCAATGGAACTTTTATTACACTCTAGATAATACATCAATTAATACTTGATACTGACTAACCATAAAAATATGTATTTTAAAGACTATATTCATGTTACTGTTTTGTAAAGTGATGCGACCCAGAATGTTTGTGTTATTGTTGTTTTGTAAATATATGTTGAAAAAAGAATTTTTTTATTTTCACATAAAACTTACCCTCTTTCTTTCATCTTTGAGCTCTTTTACTAAATTATTTATTTCTTTTACTATTTGTAATGTCATGTTTTCTGCTATTAATTCATGCTGACCAGCTATATCACTGACTTCATTCATCATCTGAAGAAATGCTTTACATGGTGAAAACCTTTAGAGAAAAATAAAAGATGATGAAGATATTAAGAATATTGCTTTCCTATTTCAAAAACATGTAATATTCAAGCTCATCGGTTACCGTTTGCCACTTTTATATAAATTAACAAACAATTTTCATATCATTAAAAAATGTCAATTTCCCAGTGAGATAAATTCAATCACCATAAAATTTCTAGAGATAATTTGCTATAATATGAATGATTTCTTGTACATAACACATTTCAATTTTAACTGGTTAAATACATTAAGAAGTTGACACAATACTATTGTGAAAGCTAAAAGTCTCGTTATGCTGAATTTTTTATATCAAATATGCAGAAAGTGCAGCTTTTTTTAACCATCAATTAGGACAGTTTAAATTTTGTGATCATGTCTGCTGCTGTTTCTGCAACCCATTGTTTATTTTCGTATTGAATGACTTATAAGACATCTAACTGCACTGATCAGAGCAGTGGCTTCAAAAGTGTTTTACAACTGTATCATTTGGTAGAGAATTACAAATATATGCAAACATACTTATATTACAGCAGTTGAAATGGTTATATGGCTGTCTGTGCATGTTATCTAAGATGTGTTCAATGTCCAGTTATATAGCTAGTAGAAATTGTATATGGAATTTTGACATAAAACGGTAGATTTCTGGTTTTTATTGTCTTAGAAATCAATGCAGAGATACATTATAAACCTACCACAAGCATGTTTAATTAAAACACCAGTCATGGTTAAACATGTTTTGCTTTTAAAAATGGTAGTTAGCTGGCAAGAAACTTTGTTTTCATTGTAGGTTTTCATGTTAAATGCAATTTGATAAATTTTAAATGAGGTGTTATGTGCAAAACTTCTAAAGTATTTATGAATGTCTTGACAGTAAAATATTAAGATTTCTGAAAATAAATACCTTATGAATATATATACAATTTAAGCATCAAAAGTGTAAGTATATTTTATGCTGTGTAAACATACAAAATTTTTAATGAACATTTACTAAAAGTGATAGATGAAAATACATGTATGGACTGTGAAGTCAGATGTAAAATTGTAAAAGTTGTGACTACTTCATATAGCATCCTTTATAGTCTGTCAGGTAATTACATCATATAGCATCCTTTATAGTCTGTCAGGTAATTACATCATATAGCATCCTCTATAGTCTATCAGGTAACTACATCATATAGCATCCTTTATAGTCTGTCAGGTAACTACATCATATAGCATCCTTTATAGTATGTCAGGTAACTACATCATATAGCATCTTTATAGTCTGTCAGGTAA